CTTTCCCTTGAGCTCAACAAGCACAAGGGCAGGACAACTGTAATGTTTTCCTCTTTGTTGCAAGCGTTTAAGAGACCTTGGGGACCTCAATCCCACGGGAACATCCTGTTCTGTGGGGAATACAGGGGGCAGAACTGAAGGTGGTGCTTCCATCCCTCTGGACATGGGACAGGAGCTGAGGAACACGCCCAAGAACACACCAAGAAAGGTTCTTGGGTACTTTGGGCATGTTTGGAAACTGAGGGGTCATCAGGCAGCCTGGAGGTCACTGCCACACTCAAGTCCAGGAAAAGCTGCACCCTCATTATGTTAATTAACAGAGGAGAAGGAAATCAAGCACAGGTCTGTGCCCCATTATCCCCTTCCACCAAGGCAAAGCCATTGGGCTCCACAGCCTTCTCCAAGGGAAGGGTGACCAGTGACTTACAGAGGATGGGAATTCCAGGTCTGCTCCCAACTATCAGAGCAAGGAGATGCTGGAACAGCCCTGGATGAGAAGAGCAGGTGTGCAACATCCTGCTCAAACCAGGGCAGGATCCCGAGGCACGGTCACCAGCAATCACAGGAGGTGACAGTCACACCAGAGCCCTGAAGAGAGACAGATCCTGGCTGGAACAACTGGGCAGGAGTCAGAGCCTGGTTACAACCAGCTGCTCGAGTATTTGCTGGCCAGCTGAGCTGTGCTCCTGCACAGCTTGTAGGGCAGGGGTAGGATTATGCTGGAAATGGGAATATTCCTCAAAATCATAGCCCCTGATCCCAATGGAGTGGGTCACCCTCCCCGTGGCAAATGAGCCCTCCAAAGCCAACAAAGCAAATGGGAATGAGAGGTTTGGAGTTTGAAGGCAGTGCTGAAAAGCAGGTCCAAGGTGCAAAGAAATGCTACCCTGAGTTTTAAATGAATAAAACCTGGTGCAAACATCTGAGCTCCTGCAGGAGGCTGGGGAAAGCCCTGCCCTCTCCACTGCTCTTGGTCCTCTAAGATTTTCTCCTGTTCTGTTCCCACTCACAACAGGCTTTTATGATGGCATTAAACTCAATGTTCCCAGCACCTCTGGGAGTGCAGGACCTGCTCAGAAGGGTTATTTCAGCCTGAAGGGCAGATTTACCACAACCAAATCCAAATGGAGAAGCAGCTGCGGGGTTTTTGCACCTTCTGCCAAGAAATGTCAGGGCCTCCAGCATGAGAGGGGCACAACTTGTTCCTTCCTCTCTCTTTTCTCTTTCTTAGTAAATTAAAAATAATGGTGGTAGATGCCTCTTGGCTTTATGCTCTCCCACCAGAGCAGATTCAATTAGCAGCTTCCCTGATTGGCAGAGGTGTGATTTACTCCCAGAATGGGACATATTAAGATGCAGGGCAGCAGGAAGTTTCCATCTGCCCCCCAACCAAATTCCCCAACCATTCCCACACTGAGGATCAGATAAGCTCTCCTCTTTCCCTTCCTCTGAATGGGTTTGGGAGGTGCAGCCTGTGGTTTTGTTAAAGAAGCCTTGAGGACACGTTCACCTGGGAGAGCTCACACCAGATTCCTTCCTTCACACATCCAGGATGCTCTCTACATCCAGAACCATGTCAGTACCCACCAAGGAGCTTCACACCCTGAGCTGGCAGCTGCCACAGACACCAAAAACACCCCAAAATATCCCAAGCCCAAAGGGAATTCCCATGATAGAGGTGGGCAGCTGAAACCTTAACAGGTTCTGTATGAAAACAGCACCGTGCCCCATTGGAGGGGGTTCTGGCCTCTCAGAGGACCCAAAAACCAGTTATTCCCTTTCCACCCACATCCCATCCTCCTGATGCCCAGGAATGGGAGCTGTTCCCTTTCCACACCACATGCCAGAGCCGAGTGCTCAGCGTGGCACTCCTGCTGCATCCACCACGATGCTCCACACCACTCACACCAAGCCCTCTGCATCCCACAATTCCCATTTGATTCCCCTTTAAAGGGGCTGTAATGCAGCGTGTATTTATACTTCAAAACAGCTTGTTTGTGTAATTGCCAAAAAAATGTAAAAAAAAAAAAAAAAAAGACACAAAACAGCCCTGCTACAATGACTAATTAGCTCGCTCCTGCCTCGTCCCCTGTAAACAAATGTATTTGTAACCAATTTGCAAGCACTTTGCATAAGGGGCCCAGAACACTCGTGCCTGTTTGATGCATTTTGACATTAATTTGATAATAGCAGCTTAACAAGGAATCCAGGCTCCCCAGCTATAAATATGCTGCTTTTCCACTTCCTTTTATCTGCACAGTGAAATAATGTTTTTCCCCCTGCTGCAATAACCACCATCCAACCCTTTCATGAATGCCCTTTATGTCCTTTAGCATTTTCAAGGCTGCTTTGCTTTTTTTTTTTTTTTTTCCTCCTGCTAGAGAAAGTAAAAGGGTTTTATTAGTTGTATTTTTAATTCCTATTCATTGGTGGGGGTAAGGAGAAGAGAGGACAGTAATGGTGCTCTGATAATGCACCTTCCTCACCTTCCAGGAGACAGGGAGGAGAGACTTGTTTGTTCAGAAATACTGCTCCATCCATTTGTGCTTCCTAGGAAAAAGAAAGCTCATCCTTTTCCTTCTCTTCTCCACTTGCCATGGCTCTCTCTCACCATGCAAGCCTTCACCACCACACCAAAACTCAAATTCAGGCACAGTGAAATGGGAATGGGACCCTGGAGTCCACTGTGGTAGCAACCAAAAAGGCCAGAAAGGGCTACAGCTCATCCACGCCCTGACACCATCACTCCTCTCCTGATCCTCCCCAAGACTTTCCACCTCTCCCCAGGGGCAGAACCTCACCCACATGCTGCCTCCACCTCTGCCCCATCTCTCAGCCCCCGTGAGAGGCCAGCTCTGGGGCTGGGAAGTACCAACCCCAAAATCAGCACCTTGGGAATTGCCAGCTGCATCCTGTGGCTGCAGACATCCTTCAGCCTCTGGGAGTTGAGCAATCTGCCCTGTCTCCTCCACATTCCCTCCTCCCCTGCCTCCATGTCAGAGCCAGAGATGCACAAACTGCTCCCAGACTGACCTGGGGTGAAGTTGCACTTGGAGCACAGACCCAGAGGACCTCTCCTCTGCCATCCCAGTCCTGGAGACCTCCCAGAGACTGTCCCAGCAGTGGAAGGACCAGAGCCTTTTGCCCCCTTTCCCTGACATCACCACTCTCTGTGGCCACCGCATGGCTGTGCAGGTGAGGGCAAACCCCGAAACACTCCGAGACATCCAAGCAGAAAATCCCTCCCTTGCCAAGCTGAGCTCTGCATCCTCAGCATTCCCACACCTCCACCCCACTTCTCCTTCCTGGAAACCGAGTCAGGTCCCTCCTTGCCAGGAGATAAGCTGGCAGAGGACATGAGATCAGTACCAAAAGGGAAGAGGGATGCTCTGCACAGGCTATCCCTGGGTTTCCTCCCACCAGTGTTTCATACTGACCACAGCTCTTCCAGTCATTTCCCCACGTCCTCCCCTGGGATCATGAATTCCAAAACCCCACAGCAAGTCCCAGCAATAAGATGGAGGCTTTAGCAGAGTCCAAAAGCACATTCTTTCCTCAGCCTCCTCCCTCCTTATCTCCTTCCTCCCTCCCCACAAAGCACATTCAGATAAATGTTATTGGAACAATAAAATCCGTAACTTAAACACAAGCACAGGAGGGATGGAAGGAGGGTCTCCATTGCCTGGGTGAGCAGACCTGCCAGAACAGAAAAACAGAGGAGAGCCCATGAACCCCTCTGGGAATAAAACCTTGGATCACTTCAGGCAAGAGGCTCTCCTACAGTCCCACAAGTCCTGCATGGACTCATTCATCTTTTTAAAACTGATCACACCCCAGTTCTGAGGCTTTTCTCTACTTCACCTATCTGGGGCAAGTCGACTTAAGCACACGAGTACGTGAGCTGCTGCTCCTCCTGTGTGTTTATTTTGTGGATTTTCTCAACTCAAAGAAGGTGCTGAAGCCTGGCTTCTCTGTGTGCCACTGTCCCTGGGAGCAGTAGCACAGAGACAACTCAACAGGGTGCACATTTTCTTGAGACTGGTCACACTGACGTGCCCAGGACTGTGTGGCCCCGGCACATCTATCCCACTCCCCTCCAGCTCCTCAGTGTGGGTGGCAGAGCCCTTTCAGCCACCACTGCAGAGCTCCAGAACCCAGGGAGCAGAGGTGGCTGCCAGGGCAGAAGTGCTGCTGCCAAGGCAGGTTAATGCCTCAGGAGTTTCCATCACCACAAGCAGTCCATCCTGCCCACTCCCCCATCCCAATTTCCCCCTCCTGCAGCCTGAGCCAGCCCAGCTCAGCTAAATCCACACAGACATGGTGCCAACTGATGGCATTTTGGCCATCCCAGCTCACATTTCACCTGGCACCTACCTGATTTCAGCCCTTGGCTTCACACAGAGCAGTGGTGCAGGTCCTGTCTGCTGTGCAGGGCTGGAGCTGTCAGAGAGAGGTGTGGGAGGTGGCCTGGGGTTGCCCAGAGAAATGGACCTTCACTGAGTCACTGAGCCAGGGATAATGGTTACAGAATCCCAGAGCAGCTCAGGTTGGAAGGGACTTCAAAGCTCATCTCATTCCAACCCTGCTGCTGTGGGCAGGGAACCTTCCACTAGCCCAGGCTGCTCCAATCCCCACCCAGCCTGGCACTGATGTTTTGTCCCACATCAGCACAGCTCAGCAGTTGGATGTGCAGAGATCCAAGGAGGAGAAGCATTTCCTAAACACCGAGTAGCTCCTTCTTCAGCTGAGCCCACAGCCACAAACACCACAGAACAGCATCCCCAAACCCAGGACACCCAGGAGAACAGGGCTGTAACCCCAAAAGTGCTCATCCCAGCACTCCCAGTGATGCTCCACAGCTCCCAGTGCAGACTGGGGCTGCACCCAGGCACAGCCCAGCCCACACACACCTTACTTACCTGGAGTGCCAAAACCCTCCCCATGAGAGGGTGGCTTTGGGCTCTGCATCGAGAAGGAAGCAGGAGGCAAGGAAACAGAGCTGGTTCCAAATGTTCCACTCTTTATTTGAAGTTTCACATGCCACCAGCATTTTTGTACATGAAAGTTGCACATTCAGAACTGGACTCACTACAGGGACAAAGGGCCAGAGCAAACACAAGCGTCAAACGAGCGCACGGATGGAGGAGCCCGAGCCCGGGAGCCTGCAGGGATTTGTCACCAGGCTGGCACCCTGATGGCACTTGGGGTGTCAGAGATGAACCCCCACTTTTAGGACCACCTCCCTTTGCCATCTCCAGAGTTGTGAGCTGGGTCTTCTCTCCTAGCGTGGCACCGTTCCCTTCCAATGAGCTAAACAAGGATTTTTGGTAATATCTCCACCAGAATTGAGGGTGTTTGGAGACCAACTGCCCATTTAAAGCTTTCCTGAATTCCCCTTTCTATCAATGCCAGCAGTTTCTACAAGGAGAAACAATTTTCACCCGCTGTTTAGAAGGAGAGACGACAGAAATAGGGACTCTTACACTGACATTTTATTTTCAAAGAAAGTTTTGATAGAAAAACATTTTCCCCAGCAGCCTTGGGCAGGGAGTTGCAGCTTCCACTTCAAAGGACAAACTTCAAAAACAAATCCAGTGTCCTAATGGTTTTGTGCTACATTACTTAATTGTCATACAGCTAATTAGCAATGCCTGATTTCACATTCTCTGTACATAGATGAAGTTCACAAAAGAAGGGGCTACTTAAAAGAATAAATAAAACAAGGCACCAGGCAGCCAGGCTCCGACAACATTAACATAAAATGTTACACTTTACTATTTAAAAAACTGAAATAAAACCCCCATCATGATTAAACCTATATTGATCTGCCTTCCTTCAGATCTCAGAGCTTTGGATCTCTGCAAGGAAGGGGGGAGAACAGAACATGGCAAGCGGGGGCTTAGCCTGTGCCTCTCTGTATGTATTTCACCACCGTGCAGCAGAGATCTTTAAAATTCTAATTATTTCCCTATCACCAAGTAAGATCGGGATCAATAGATGGTACAGACTGACCCCTTTCCTCCAGTGTCAGGGGGAAATTAAAATAAAAGAAAGGGGAGGGTGAACTGAGAGCGTCAGAGGTCAATGCCACAAAACAATAGATATTGATGTCTCCATTCATTTCAAACAGCGGAAAGGTCAATGCCTCCCTTGCTTCATGTTTTATGGCTGAAATCCTGCTGCTAACAGCAACAATGTTAGTAGTCAGACCTCATCCATCCTTTTTTATTATTATGATTATTTCTAACCAGGTTAGCCATTTTGAAAATTTGACGAAAGCTGGGAGCAGCAGTAGGGGGCTGGGCAGGAGGAGAAGAGGGGAAGCTGTCCTGGAAATTAATGGAAGAGATGGTTTCCATTAGTTTTCAAGTCTCCCTGTCCCCCTACCTGTGCCCCAGTTTGTCCCTCACTGCCCCCTAAAAAATGAAAAGGGCCTGAGGCAACATCCCTTCACTATTAATCATTATTCCCCGTACAACATCCCAATTGGTTTCTATGGAAATGATTCTCCTGCTGGAGTACCCTGGCTGCCTGTGCATCTCAAAGAGGCAGGAGAGCTGCAGTGGAAGGAGACTGGGCTCTGCAACACCCAGCACAGCTCCTGCACTGCTCTCCCAGCTGGGACCAGCCAAGAGGGAACTGCATCCCCTCAGACAGGTGAAAGAACCCTTCACTCCGCCAGTGGGAAAGTCCCAAATTTCTACGGCCCTGTCCTAAAACAGCAGTGCTGGAAGAAAGCGCCCAGCACCTCACACAGACAGTCCCACACACCTGCCCATTGTCCCAGAGCTGCCACAGCTCTGAACATCCACGTGAGGGGATGGGTCCTGCTCTGCTCCCTGGGACCCCACACGCCTGGCAGAGGATGGGAATTGTGAGTGGGGCTGTGGCTCTGCTGCTCTCAGCTCACACCAGCCCCAGGTCTGCCCTCTGCTCCCCAGCAAACAACTCCTCACCAGGAGGGGAGGGTTCAGCACCTGGGGAGCTTCCTCCCCCTCCACAAGTGAGGAAACAGGCCAAGCCTCACAATGTCTGTCTGGCTCCCAGGGCGAGATCCATGACTCCATCCTACCCTGCCTCCTCTGACTCTCATCTTCTCCCTGATGGAGCAGTGACTACAGTCAGAGCTCTCCTGAAGGGAGAGACTGTCACCACACAGCCCCTTCTCCTGACAGAGCAGGGATGCACTGCCATTTCCTAAAGAGGCCATGAAATCAGCTTTGCAAACAGCTGAGGAAGCAATCCTTTAACCTACAATCCTAAGAAACCCATGGGAACACAGATGACTTAGCCCCTCCAAATTCCCCACACCAGTGCCACTCCAGACCCTCCCAGCCTGCAGGAACCAAATGCCACTCTGCCAAACAAGATTTTGGACATGAGCAGAGCAGCAAACTACATCGAGTTTTACACAAGAACAGAACTGTCCCAGAATATCCTTCTCCCACAGAACCACTGACACTTTAGTGGTGGTCAAAGCAAAGATTTCTGCTGCAGTTCCCAAAGATTGGAGGTCTGCTTTGGAAGGCAGCAAGGAAAAGCCAGCAGGGACTTGGGATCCTGCAGAGGCACTCCCTGCAAGAAGGGCACCTTCTGGAATTGAATTCATTTGTTTTAGACTACGGACAGCAGCATCAGCAGGCTCAGAGATCACCTCCTTAAATGCTCACAGATAGCAGAAGGGAGATTTCTGGAGAGATGGGGACAGAGAAAAGGAGGGGGGATTTGATATTAAATAAAATCCAGGAGCAGAACACCCCTCTCTCTGCTCCCCTCTCTTCCTCCACAGCTGCCTGCCTGAGCGCTGAGTGGGCTCCGAGTCCCATCCACTGCTCTGCTCAGAACATATGGAGCTGTGTTTAATAGCCCAGCTCCGCCAATTGGGTACTATTAGGGTGGGTTCTTTTCCCAGTGTAAATGTTGCAGAATATAAATTGTAATTAACACCGATGCCAAAATAGCACTTAGAGAAAATAAGCACATTATTAACATCTGGTGAATCCTGCCTGGAGTGCAAAAGCAGCGGAAATTCTCACTCACCATAAGAGGATTTGTAGTAGAGATATCAAGCACTGGCCCGGAGTTGGGGAGCTGGGGGTGGAAGGAGATTTTAGCTCTTTATTACTATTTGGGATGCTACCTTTATCACCTGTGGGTGACTTTTCCTAGCCCTGCTTATAACTGGTAGCATCAGGGCTGGTGACTCACTTGCATGAATACAGATGCCCAAACACCATATCCCTGGCAAGAGAAACACAGCGCTATAAAACATCCCTGGCTGCTGCTCCCATCCAGCAGGACACAAGGCAGGTGGATGTGGATGTGCCAAGCCAAGTGTACAGCATGTTCCATCAGGTGACTGCAAGCCCAAGAGCAAAGGTTTAACACCAGAATCAAGCAACAGCTGGTTTCTGCACACCACTGTCCTCCAGTTCAGGTTTTCAGAGGAACAGGAAGAGGTGAGCTGGCAGCACTGCCAAGCTCCTGCTGATGCCACAGCTGTTTATGCAGAGAAATCCTCGCTGAGGGTGGGAATGGCCTCACTGGAACCAAACCCCAGGATTCCTGCACAGGACTGAACAGGTCCCCCAGGGCATCAGAGAGCTGCCACCACACCCTCACCCTTTCCTCTGCCAGCGGCACAAGCAGGACAAAGCAACTTTACAAGGAGGAGAAAGCAGCTTTGCAAACACCCTCTGCCCAGTCCTGCTTGTTATCCTAGGGAAAATCACGGACAAAAGCAGGTAGAGCTGAAGTGGCCAGAGCAGCAGCTTGTGCTCCTGCCAAAAAGCACAAAGGATGTGCTGAAGTGAGGGAGAGGGAGAGAAGAGAGGGATTCAAACAGGTGAGTAATAGAACAAGAGGTAGAAAGAATGACCTCATGGGGGAGAGTGGCAGGGGAAACAGTGGCAGGAGCAGGGCAGCAGCTCCTCACACTCAGCTGCAGGGAGCTGAAGCCTCAAACATTGGAGAAGTGCTCACAGCTCAGCTGCAGCATCCCCAGGGGAGCTGGCCTCACATTCCTGCTGCCAGCTGCACTCCAGAGGCTGTGCTGGCTCCCTGTCCTCAGAGGGGAAGGATGAGAGCCTCGGGAAAGGCAGCAAACCACCAGGGGTTGGTCTCAGCAAGACACAGACCTGTGCTAGCAGAGCCTGACACTTACCTGCTCTTTACTGTAACCTCTCTGAGCACAAGGGTTATCACAGCCTGGCTCAAGATTTACACCTGTGAGACAGAATTCCAGGCAGGCTCACACGTGGCTGATTGGAAAGCAAGGACAGAAAGTCCTCCAAGGCTGGGAGATGCATTTTATTCTCAAATTTATCCCATCAGACCAGGTTTCCTATGAACACTGAGGGCAGAAGAGCATTTGGGAGAGGGCATCTTGAGTAGAAAATGCTGACAAGGAGATGGGCACATCATCTTTGGACAACTCTGGGCCTTCCAAGAAAAGCAGAGCTCAACACATTTGGGATTTGGGTGAAGTTAGACAGCCCTGGTCAGCAGCTGGTTTGCAGAAGACAGACCTGGTATGCTACCAAGGAAAATTCTGCCACCCAGACTTGTAGCTCCAGGAATTTGTAACTTGGCTTTTGGTACAGCTGTCTGATGCTTTTAAAAGTGCTCAGTAAATAAGGCAATATGAAAGTGATCCAGACCACTGCTGATGCCTGAGGAAGTTCTGTGGAGCAGAGAAGCTGACTGAAATCACACTGTGAAAATACTTCATAACATCTCTAAAATTAACATGAGCTCAAGGCATGGGGCATAAGGACAGAACTGGAACACTACATTCCCATCTACACTGCAAGACAGACTGCATATAAATCAGATCTGAGCCTCAACTTATTCACCGTAGGCACCATCTACTCTAGGACAAGGATTTCCAGAAGAGCTGAGAACTTCTTCCACCAGACCAATGGAAACAGCATCAGCAGGATGCTGATACCATGGTCAAGGTGTTAATGACCTTATTTTCTTATTAAGAAATTTTAAAAAGAGTCCTTGTGGTACTTCTCAATCAAAAAAAAAAAAAAAACCCTATTAAATATCCGTGACTGCACATGTGTGACTACAAATGACTATTTGTAACATAGAAAAGATGTGATGCACTTCAATTGAGCAACACATTTTTGTGTCTCTGAGCTGGCCTAGGCTTTCTACTTTGCCAAAAACAGACTGAAGCAAAGAATGATTTCCACCAAAACCACAAAGCACACTGCCAACGTACACAGGGGCCCTTGGGACAGACACCGGGGACACAGGGGAAAGAGCATTGTTAAGTCAGTTTCTCTTACCTTTAACTTCAGTAAAACAACAAAAACGATTCATATTAACCGTAAGGAAATACTCATCAGATTCCACAAGCCTTTGAGACAGGATTTTCAGATGCAAACAATATTCAATAGATGCTTCCCCACTGCAAAGAACCAGCTTTTTTTATTTTGCAATTGCACCTGTTTGAAGTGATTGTACAGCATCCAGTGAGGTGGCCAGGAGTCGAGGATGGGAAATCCAGGCCAATAAGAAGCTGCTCCATGGGTTCACACTGATTTGTCCTTTCCATGCTGTGGCAGTCACCACCACAAATTGGGAGGTTCCTCGGCCACTCTGCTTTTAAACAAGGTAATTTCATCCAAGTGCCTCATGGGGACATCTCTGATGACCTCTGTCAAGTCCTCGTGAAGCAGAGGGAAAATGACGACGTTTAATGCAGGGCGTTCTGCCTGGAAACTAAATCAGACACAGGTTATTAGCCAAGGAAAAATACCAGTTCTCCAGTGCAAGGGAAGGGGATGGTCTGGGTATCGATCATGCAGGATGGGGGCAAGGAAGGGCTGTTCAGAGGAGGCAGGAGGGGCAGCTGGAACTCCAGGTCTCCCCACTCTTCCCTCTCTGTGTCAGCAGGGAGTTCAGGGTGGGTTTGCAACCCTTTGCAATGAGTCTGCTAAACTGGCACAAGCCCAAATTGCACCTAAAATCGGGAGGGAGGAAGAAGTTTAAAAAAAAAATAATAAAAAAAATAAATCAAGACAGGTAGGTATTCTTAGAGGATCTGAGATCCCAAGAGTTCTGCCCAAGCTGGGCAAAGTGCTCAGCGATAACAATTTAAACCACCTGCAAACCAGAGGCAAGTTGCAGAGCCATTAGGAAAATCAGGCCAGAGCAATGTCAGGCATCCCCTCGGGGCTGAGCCTGGGATTATCACTTCAGGCTGGGTTGTTCTGCACGCAGTCTACACTCTGCAATTAGAGCATAGGCAAGTTTAGAAAGCTCAGATGTGCAGATAAGCATTTAAGTGTGCTCACACTCACACACTGCAGCCTTCTTTTCAATCCAGGCAAAGGAAGAGATTTGCACAAGTTAAAGCCATTAAACCATGTAGGAAGAACCGTACAGAAAAAGCCCAAGTGCCCACCAGCAGGTACTTTACTGACAGCAACCTGTGAGGAAGAGAAATGCTATTACTCAGTGCAGTGTAACAAGAATTTAGTCTTTTAAAGCTGGGGGGGGCAAAAATGTAGCATAATTACCCTAAGAGTTACACCTTAAAATGAAAAATTTGTGACTCCTAGTCCTGTGCCGCCAAGATGTTTCCTCTGAAGGGTGTGACAAGTTCATGATCACTCAGGAGGAGGCAGAGTCACACTGGCAGCACCAGTCCCTGCAGGCTGAACCAAACCGTGCTGGGCCCAAAGAGAAGCTCTCTGCTCGACAAACTTAGACAGGTGTGTGCCTGGAAGATTCCCAGCTCATCTCTAGCTCTGAAATGGCCAGATTTCTGCCAAACACTGAGGAAAAGTTGGAGATCCAGCTGCTGCAAACAGACATGAAAATCCCAGGTAGTAATACAGCCAGCTGAAGAAAGCAACACGAGAAACTGGCATTTCCTGGGTGACAATAAGGACATTCCCATCCACAAACGATTTGGAGTAGAGCTGCCAAAAACACAGCAGAGAAACTTCCATTCCCAAGCTAGGTGCTCAGTCTTGATGGGCTGAATTAATTTGCCTGAACCTAAGTAGCTGCAGGAATAACAATTTCCAGCAACAGAACTACCTGGGGCAATTTTATATCTCTCTGCATCACAGACCTGCCCTTCATGCCTCATGCCTAAGGGCTGACAGAAAAGGACACGGCTCCCTGAGTGGATCTGGGGACTTGTGTCAGAGCTGGGCAGCTTCTTACTTCCACAGCACTGCCCTCAAGAAATCAACCAGCAAATAACTGCTGATCTGGGAGGCAGCTGGTAAAGTCTGCAGTGAAATCACATAAAATACAGCCAAACATCTCTTTGATAGTCCCTGCTCTGCCTCAGCTCTTCATGTTTCTTATCCAACACCACAGTCCTGTAGAGAAAATCATGTTAATAGACCAAGTTTACTGAAGTTCAGCAAAGGAAGAAACTGCCATCTCCCCAAGGGAAAGAAACTGCTTCCCTCTTTGTATATAGACTCTCCCAAATTGGTCCTGAGTGCTGCCTTCTCACCATGTACAAAATTGTAGTTTATAAGCAGCCTTTACATGTAGCTATAAAAACATGAACCCAGACAAGTTTACATGATGAACTGCCACCGAGACAAGTGAAAAACCCCAACGCAGTAAGTGTCCCTCCTAAAGAGGCTGGGTTTATACCAGGGGTTTGAACTTGATCTTAAAATAAGAGGAAAAAAAAGAAAGCTTTGTGATTTTCTCCCCCCCTCAACAGGAAACTGTATGTTACTGCAAACCTTGTAAATTCCATACCCCAGCAAGTTGACGCCGGAGAATTCTTTCCATGTACAATTTGCGTGATTTGAGGAAAAAAAAAAATCAAATGCACATGGTTCACTATTATTCTCAGTTAAATGTGCGTGCAAAGCCTCTCCTTTAACTGCCTGTTAAAAAACACCCTGATTTTAACGAGCAGCTGTCATAATGTTAAACTGGGATTAGCAGTTCCCAAAAGCAGCCTCCCTCTGCAATCTATGCTCCTTTAGTCCTTCCCCGGAAGGCAATTCCTTTCTTCATACACCTGTCCAGGTGGGCTAGATTAAGTGAGAGGCACTTAGAGCACTACTTCGAAAGGCCCCAGGCACGGGGAGGAGATAACAAGAAGGGGAAGAGAGTGAGTTAATGAGTTGCAGAACAGCTCCTGTAATCTTCTTGAGGGCTCTTTCCTCATTCCACACCTGGATGGACTTCAAACTCCATCCACCTCTGCAAACGCATGGCTTGTAAAATTAAAACCCGAAGGACAGAGAAGGATGTTGACCCGGGGAGACAAAAGAGCTGCAGTTTCAGACATGAAGCCCTGTTTTTTTCGGTTTGGGTTTGTTGTTTTGGTTTTTTTTTTCCAAGGGAAAAAAGCCAAGGATATGCTTTCTTGCTCTCTCCTGCAAAACCTCCAGACTAAACTCATCATGATTAATTAAATGAAAGCAAGTTTTCTAGGCAACTGACTAGCAGCCCCTTCAAAATAGATCTTTTAATCAGACACAACCACTGGGATAACAAAGAAAACACCTCCCTCCCCTACCCTCCACGTATATTTTCCAGCATAACCTCTGATCCAGCAGAATCACCAAACCAACCACCACCCAGCAGGAATTTCCACAAGGAGGTCTCTGAAATGTCCTCATGTGGATGTGGACACAGAGCAGACCCGGCCTCAGCAGCTGGTTGGAATCATCCACATAGCTGGGAAACAAATGATGAAGCACACCCTGTGTCACAAATTCCTCCTGGCATCAGCGGAGGTGCAGCATCTCTCTGCTCCTAGATCTTGAACTGGCTGTGTGTGGATGAAAGGGTTAATGATGCTTTGCAATTTGTCTCCGAATTCTCCCAGAACAGGTGTGGACTGGACTCAGTAAGGTTATTTTCAAGTGAACAGCTTGGTAAATAGCCTAACACTAGGCTCTCAATTACTTCCAACCACTGTGGCAGGATCCAATATGTAGGTCAGGGACAAAGTCAAAAAGAAAGAGAAAAAGTCTAAAGCAAGGCTGCACTTTGATCAGATTTCCTCGATTTTAGCAAGACAAAAGAGTCCCTCCCTGGAATGCAGTTATCTCCTGGCAAACATTGACATGCCTCTCCAGAGAGGACAGCGAGTCCCCAGGGGATTCCACCTGCTGACAGATCCAAAGGGTAGCCCAAAGCCATGGGGAATCTCTCCAGCCAGCCTGGAAAGATGGATTACACCCCCCTGCAACCCTCAGCACCACAGACCCTATAAGGTGACAGCTCTCTGAATTAGGTGCTGCTCAAACCTCCTTTACTTATAAGGAAAGGATAAGGAAGTATTTGGGGCTGAAGAATGTTCTTCCCCTTGAGATTTCCACAGAAGCCCAAGGAAAGTCCTAAGCCAAATCAGACATTTCAGCACATCCCACTTCACAGAGGCTGGCAAGCAGGACCGAGGGCGTGCAATGAGGGATAATTAAACACTGCCAACAAAAGCAGCACACAGCAGATGAAGTGAGGAAATACAGTGTATCAGGAATGGATCAAGGGCAGATCTCTGACCTCCACAAACCAAGCTGAGCTTATGGAAAAAGAAGCTCTAGAGATGGAGAGGAAGGAAGGAAGGAAATGAGGAGAAGTTTGATTTGGGGGAACAGAGCAGATGTGGACTCTGGTCGGCACAACTCTCACAAATGCAAACCAGTCTGCTGCAGCCACACACCTTCTCCCCTCTCTGTTTTGACCTTCCACGCAGGCTGATGAGCTGTTTTTGGAGAGGCACAAGTTTCTCAAGAGCAGAAGTTACAAACCAACTCACTTTCTGCCCTGTATGCAGCTTTCTCACCTACATGCACAAAGCCTGTTAATCCTCTGCCAGGCACAGCGTGTTTTTACTGGAAGACTTGCTCACCCCTCGAAGTTCAAGTGTGGCATTTGTCTTGAAAGCTTCAGCCAGCATACCTGAGCCAGCCTGGAAACTCCCTTCCTGCAGCATGGCACGGTGGAATGGAGGAAGTGCCAGGACAAGCTGGAGCAGCTGGCAGCAGCATGACCCAACATACAAACACTCACACTTTTCTCATCTTCTCAGGGAAGGCCAGGAAAACACTTCAGATTTGTTCCACTGGCCGTGCCCTGACCTCAGTACCAAGGAGCTGCAAATCTCTCCTTGCTTACAGTGACTGCCAAAGATGCTTCTGCAGGAGCATCTTCCAAAGAAGATTTGGCTTTGCCAAATAAACTGTAGGTGGGATTCTCCCAGGCCCCTTCTCCTGGGAGCAGGGAGAACCTTTGCCTCCCACTCATCCCCCAGAAGCCTCTCAGGGGGGTCCAAACCCTCCTCACACTAATTCTAAAGCAGATCCATTCTCTAGTGCCATTCTCCCTTCCAGCCCTGCCAGAGTGCCAGTGCTAAGCAGACTTTATTTCCAAACCTCAGAAACAGACTTGAAAAGTTCCCAAGGAAAGATGTTCAGATTCCTCTGGTTGCTCTTAACTCCACACAATGAGATATTTTTGCTATAAAGTGTTTTCCTTTAGGGATATCTTCCATCCCTTCATGTCTATGTAGACAAACCAATATTCTCCCAAGGCTGCTGATTTTTCCATGCTAAGTCCCATCACTGCAGTCTCCAACCTGAGACCAAGGGGTGTAGATGGCACTCTGGAAATCACTCACACACATCACTGCCAACTCTCCCATTATCCTCAGCACAGTTTCTTCATTTGCCACTGCGTTGAGCCACAGGGAAGGAGCAATAACACATCAGACTCACCCCGAGCCG